AACACAAGCGTTTGCCAGGGCAGAAGACCACAGAGGCTGGTGAGTGCTGAGCAACAGATCACAGATCACAATCCAACTGCCGTGCGTGCAGACACACATTTAAAGACTGACTTTTCCATCTATCTGGAAAGACAAAGAGGTAAAATGCCTGTCAAACAGAGGCCGGCTCTCTTGAGCACCCTTAGTATCTTGAACAGATTAACATGAGCATCAAATAGACACCTGAATGTTTAATGTTTCCAAGCAAAAGCCTTTTCCTCTTCATTGAGGCAGTCAGGGCTATCAGCAGGGGGGAAACGCTCTTTTTCACATGTAATTGTAGAGAGAGGTCAGAGCGACCTTCAACCTGTGCCTCTGAGGTTGTCCTGCACACCCACTCCAGCAGGCAGAAGGCACAGGACATGAGGCAGGGACAAGCACCTTTACAGGCCAGGGATGGGAGAAGAATCTGCTACTCCTGCCCACCTTGGACTGATGAGGATTCAACCCAACAGGAAGAGAGGCTGGGCGGCACAAGGTGGGAGGAAGCAGAAATGATGCTGTCTTATCAGACCCTGCCCCAGTTACATTTCTAATTTTTTGATGATACCTCTCTGGCTATCTATATCACGGGTGATTTGTCCTCTCTGTTACTTGGGGAGCCCCAGGGCCTGCGGTACACTCTAACAAAGGTAAGCTGTTCTCAGCTGATACTCATAGCTTAAATGCTTTTAAAAAGGGAACAACATAAAATATTTCTTATCTGATAACTACATAAGTGCTATACGTTTGGTGATAAAAAGAGAATTGCAAGCGTGGAAGAGAGATGGATATTTTTATTCAGAAATTATAACAGCATGCATCTTGAAACCCGAGTTATCAAGAAGAAATACTCTCGCAATGAAATGACTTCCCTGGAGTTTTGGTGCTAACTTGATTAAATCTGCATGAACAAAAGGAATGTGTACTTAAAACAAGGCCTGACATGGTCTTCAGCAACGACTCTGTGCCACCTATGAGTCTAAATTGAACCCGCCGTCAATTCCTGAGAAATTCTTGATTATATTTATTCAATGTCTGATTTTTAATGCATATGAATGAAACCTCCATCAGCATTTCTGAAAGTCGGTGCCCTGAGCACTCATCTGAGAATACATTATTTTGTATTGTTCTTCAGTCCCAGAAAATACACGGGATGAGAGAAATTATCTGCATCAAATGGTTTGGGTGATATTGATCGAGTGACTCCTCTAGACACTTTTTGTCTATTCCTAAAAGGCAGATCACACAGACATGAGCTTACTAACTTTCATTTTAGTATTAAGTCATTGGTCATCAACTACAGAAGCTGAACTGTCTAACCATTTGAAATCTGTGTCTGCATTACCCGTAGGAAAAAATATCCTGGGCTCTTTAGATGGCGCTCAGGTGAAGTGCTCAGTCTGTTTGGTTGTGTTTTGGGCAGAAGCAAGCCAGGTCTACCTGGCTTTCCCCGAAGAACAAATGTTCTTTTCTTTCAGGAGAGGACAGTTCTATAAATGAGCATGTTGCTCTCTTTCCTCTTGGCTGCGTTAGGGCTCAGGAAACGATTGCAAAGTCCTTTATGGGCCCTGAATTTCTTCCTTGTGGCTCTCTTGCGTCTCTGTATTTATCTGCCTTCTACTGACACTTTTTTTTGATTTCCATTTCACTTGATTTCACACTGTTACTGTTACCTCTCTAGACGCTTTTTGGGAAAGATCAATGTGTGCACAAATAAAAATGGCCCATCTCGGAGAGTCACTGAGACAATTGTGACAGGACCCACAGGACCGTGGGTTTCTCATCCTTCAGCCTGGGCAGTGACCCCACCTCACCTGGGGCCACACCTCAGCACTTGGCTTCCATGTGAACTTGCTTGAGGATTTATGTGGCATAAAACATTTCATGTTCATCAGAGTCTAGATGTATAAAAAGACTTAAACTATTTCCTGGAGTGGGTCGGAAATCTGTCTCTAATTGTGATCACACTGTTCCATGCCTAGGATGTCTCATCCTGCATTAACATGTAAATGCATGCACATGAGCATATCCTTAGAGTTAAGCAGAAAACACATCCAAAAAAATTTTTTTTTAACCAAAGAAAGAACAAATTAGAAAGGTTAGAGCAAAAGAAGGACTGTCACATACAGCGCCTACACGGTCATGATCGTGACCCATCAAGACGTGCTGTGTATCAGTGTGGTGATGACGGTGACGGCTGGAAGGTGGGGCAATCGCGATCGAGCTACTTATCAGCACTGGTTTATGAAGACACTGATATGACACACAAAAGGCAAGGACAGATAAAAGCCTGGCTATGAAGAAACACTGCCTGAATCAAAACGAACAGGTGTCCCTGCTAAGAGGCTTCTGGAAAGTGGCCTAAGTGTAGGCACCGAGGTGAGTCAATCAGAGGTGATAAGGACTCCCTGCGTTGGTCCTGAAGCCTTCCGCAGAGTGTGGAGGGACACTCACCCTAAGAGATGGCGCCCCCTCTTCCTTGCAGACAGATGGACTCCAGGAGCTCTCAGGGCTGTCCAGCACAGTCTGCTCCCCCAATCTCGGTAGTACCAAGAGTTCATTACATTCCCTCTTTTGCGGCCAGCTTAATCAGACGCTCACATTGTTGTGATGTGGATTCCCCCAGTAAATTCATATTACGGCTCCAGCATCTAACTTAAGTCATGAGTGACACCTTCGCATTGCATGGACGTCACCCCTCTCGAGATCCTGAACCTGACCAAGCAGAAACCTGGCTGAGTGGTCTCGAAATGCACATCCTTCTGTCTGTCTTTCTAGGTCTCTCTCCTGTAAAACTCCCAGAGCCATGGAAGCTCTGCCCAAGAGTCTGAAATGACTAACACTAGAAATCCCGGATACCTGCTAAAGAGGCAAAGGGTGGGTGTCAGCATTTAAGTACCAGTGACCCTGCAGAGGGGGGTAACCGCAGGTAATAGTATCTGTGTTGTACCTGAAATTTTGCAAGTGGTTTGCACATGGAGTATCTCGTTTCGTGTTTTAGGAAAAGAAGCAAAAAGGAATGAGGAAACAGAACATGGGGTGAAGAAAGAAAAGTACTACCAGTCCTCTGATTTCACACTTGTGGAGTGTGAAGGTTCGGGTAACTGCAGGTCTCCTGGGCCAGATTAGGGGAGACTGCCTTATTGATACCCACCTATCGTTTCATGATTAAGTAGTTAATTATTTAACCAATGCCCATGTCTAAAAACAGAAGAGCAAATCTCACTTGACTGACTCAGATAATATCAGTAAAAAATGGAGTCAGAATGTTGCTGCGATGTTAATTTTAGATGAAATAATTTTCTTACATGTCCCTATGCTTTCCCTGAGTGTTTCTAAACACCAACGTTGGAGACAGTAACATCGAGAGTGAACTCTGACCTTGGTTGAAGTTGCATTGCCTAGTTTCCTAGGCCCTGTGCTTGGAGACCTCAGGGATTTCCAGTATTGGCTGAGAGGGCGCGGTCTGTCTGCAGGAAGGCTGGCCCTGGGGTCCTGCACCCCTCAACCTCCCGCATCCCGCATCCTCCCAGGCACATCAAACTGGGTGTGCAGCCAGGCGTGTCGGCTGTGGAGACATCTCTCCTCTCCCTGCTTCAGTGCTTCCCGGCTTGACCCAGGGAAGACACAGCAGCACTTTAACACTTAACGATCAAAAATCCAAGCCATACCGCTGCTTCAGTTGGGGGAAAAATGTAGCTGTTGTACTTTTGTTTTAAAAATCTCTTTCATTCCTTTTAAGAAAAGAAGAAGCGCTTTGCAATCCAAATGTTCACTGCAAAATAAGTATTTCTTAAAGTAGTTCTTTCCATGGGCTGGCTGTCCAAATTTTATATAATGTAAAAAGTTGATGTTTCTCTGCAAAATGATTTCATTAAAAGTAAAGTTGTAGAATTAAACAGGCCTGCGTTCGAGTTTTCTTTTATGACTACTGTATTACATGAAATTTTACCCCTAAGGCACCCATATTAAATAAGGAACAGGGCATTTTCCCTGTTTATGGATGACCCCTGTTGGGAAATGTTACTAAAAAACGAAATCTCCCAAGACACAAAACATTTTTGTTCTATGCCAGGGATCAGGCCGGAGAGGGCTGGGCAGCCGGCAGCTGGGGGGGGTTGTGGGGGTGCTGCAAGGGAGGAGGGGCCCTCACCCTTCTGTCTCTGTGTAACAGGGTGGTCCCCAGGAAAGGGGAAAGTTCCAGGTTCCCTGCCCCACCCAAGGGAGGGTGGAGCTGAGCAGGAAGAGGAGAAGCTGGAGAAGAGACTGAGGAAGGAAGCAGGATGGAGCCAGGAGACCTGGAGGAGGCACATGGAGCCTAGAGACACGTGAAGAAACTGTGCTTGTCTTTTGGTCGTGGACTAGGTGACACAGATGTGGGTGAGACCCGTGGGGAGGTGACAATGGCAGCTTTTATCTTGATGTTGATTTTGCTCTTTTCCTTCTGGGCTTGTCCAGTTGTTTGTGACCCTTTTCTGTGGGTCCCCACTGGAAGATGCTTTAGACTTGTGGCAGGCTTTGGGGCCTTGTTCTGGGCCAATCCCATATGGATGGACTTTTACCCACGAGGGGACGGGTCACTTTAGGTGCTTCATTTAGAAACTAGACTCTTTGCCTTACCTGTATTGTTTCCTAGTTTTATTAAAGTTCCTTCCCATTAAAGTCTCCTATGTTTTGTGTTGATGCGGCGGATGGCAGAACCCATTTAGAATAGGCAGGTTTGCGGGGCTTGGGCTGCCCCTCTCCCTGTCCTATAACATCTGGAGTCACAGACTAACCTCCCTGTCCTCAGGGCTAGCAGGAGCTCGTCCTCCCTGGGGAGAGAATCTGGCAGCACCGCTCCTCTCAGCAGCCAGCGTTCATCCCCATGCACCAGGGCACTGGGGGCGCCTGGACTTGTTAAACAACTGACTTAATTTCAGGGGAGGGGAACCCCACATCTTTAAGATAAGCAGCACTTCAGTCTTGGAGCAACGTACCTGCTGAGTTAGGCTGTCGCCTTCCCAAAGAAATGGGCACAAAAAGCAGGATCTCCTGGCGATTCCATTTTAAAGTCCTGGCCCCTGGGTCCTGGAGACAGACATTTCTGGGTATTAAAACTGGCCAGAGATTCATTAGCTTTCAAAAAGATAGTCACGCATTTCAAAGAGAGCCTGCAGTGTTTTCTAAAGTACACGCTCCAAGGAGGGGAAGAGGGGGTTTCTTTTCCGTTATTTCCAACAGGGAGAACGAAGCCCTTTTTTGTATTTGTACTTGCTTTTGTCTTCCTTGTGGGTGCTGTCTCTGCAGAGGGTTGGGTTTCAACGCATTCTTCTGCTAAATAATGCCGAAGGAAGAAAACCTCATTTTCAGAGCCCTTTCCTAATACGGTTAGCTTTTGTTTTCGGAAATAGGATATTTACTTTTGCCATGAACTGCTGTTTGTTACTAGTAACCACTAGAAGCTGCAGGAACTATTGACAACTTGAGGGGTGCCAGTGAGGGGAAGGAGGTGGCATTGATACCATCAAAGATCCTGCTTGCAACTGGCAAATGGAAGCATCCGACCCAGTGGGCACTTCCGTTTTTAAATACTATGCTTTCCTCCGTGAAGCTTCCTTAAAGACTGTATTTTAACCTATTATGCTATGCAGAGGATCTGATTTCCCTATTATCTCCTCTGCCACCTTGGAGTTTGTTGACAGACGTCTTATGCATATGCACTCAGCAATCATGAGTGAAATTCAATGCCTCTTCACTCATTTCCCAGAAAGTATTAAGCCTGAACATTATAGATATTCACATTACTTTTACAGTGACTATTTATTTGCTTTAAATTTCTCATTCATGCTAACTTTTGAAAAGTTAGCACAGTGTGGTGTATGTTTGTTATATCATTAAACGGAACTGTTGTGCGCTAGGAAATTTAGATTTTAATAAAATCTGTACAAACAAGACTTAAGCAAAGAAGACCTATATTTGTTACATCTTATGATATCTCAGCATTTTCATTTATGTGTGTGTGTGTGAAATGAAAGTGTCTATATACACATATTGGTAACACTCATGTCTAGAATGCATGTATTGTTAATAATGCCCTTGGTTGTTGCAACACAACATTTTACTGCTTTACAAAATACTATATATTTGAAGTTTTATTCGTTATGATTGTTGCAATGGCCTTCAAGCTTTGCGTCAGTTTGAAGTTATGTTGATGGAAATTAAAATTAATGTTAGATTTACATAGCTTTGCGATCAAAAAATCAGATTTTGTAGACTCTCTGCCTTAGTCTGAGCTCTAGCCATAGTGATTATTGGCTGCACAACGTTGAACTCTGCCTCAGCAAGCTCACCTGAAATGAGAACAGTAATTCCCCCCGGGGTTGCTGTGAGGCTGGAGGAGCCAGGGAACCCGGGACTCTTTGTAGCCATGTCTTTCTGAGGCCAGGTTGCCTCTTCTGTTACGGCAGCTTTAACACTCACTAATCTTTGAAGGAGCTTTAGCTTTGGTAACATCTCATTTAACTTATGAGTTTAATATGAAGAATTGCGGACCCACATTCTATGTATAAAGTAGTGTGTGATAAAATTTAGTTTGATTTAATATAAACCTTAACAACACATTCAAACATATTCTACCACTAGAGACAAACATGAAAATTACAAGATGTTTTTCTCAGAAACAAAGCTGGTAAAGCAGTCAGATGGCGATTTGGTAGCCCCAGTGCTCAGATAGTCTCTCTGTGATAATCTGAGACATCATATTCATTTTGCATTCAAGAGGCATTATCCTTTTGGCAGAAGGCTGCATCTCAGATAGAAATCCAGGGTCTGAAAATAATGCCTGAGCACTAGACAGATGAAGCTCATATAGAGGGTGGCAGGCGATGACTGGATCTCACACACCGGGTGCTGCCAGTCACACTAGGCTCTTGAGTGATTTTGCATCACGTCACATATGTAGGGAACGAGGGCAGTTTTCTACCACAAGTGCATCGCTGTATGCTAAATCTATTTATAGTTTCTTGCATCGCGGGTAGAGATAGAAAACATCCCACTATTAATGCTAATACTTGCTCCTTACATTGTGAAATGGCTTTTGACATGAGAGGGCACCAAGAGGGTAAGCCCGGAAACAAATGGCTTCATCATTGTCTTCCCAACCACCTTCTCTTTCTTTTAAGTTATTGTTCAGTGTTCAGTGAAGTAACTTAATAAAAGCTCATCACCTTCTCTTTCAAATAATCAAGAATCTGGAATGAGGGCTTCTCTGGTGGTGCAAGGGGTTAAGACTTAGCACTATGAAGCTATCAGCAGCCACTTCAGCACGAGTTCGATCCCCAGCCAGGGAGCTGACCCACATGGCACAGCAGACCTCTCCTGACTTGCCCGCTGCTCCCCTCAGCAGTGGATTTCAGTAGATCTGCCTATTTTGCTCCCCACTCTGTCTCTGGTGAATCCTCTCATCCCCTACACCTCTGGCCTGAACCCCAGTTCCTGCATGCGTAAATAAAACAATGAATATTTAAAACAATCAGTCTTTAAAACAATGGATCTTTAAATAAAATGAATCTTAAAAAAAAAAAAAGGATCTGGAATGGGCAGCATGTTAAAGAGTAGATTTAAGTTAACAGACTTTAAAAGAGGGCCTCCCCGGTGGCGCAGCGGTTGAGCGCTGGGTTGCGAAGCTGCCCGCAGCCTCTGCAGTGCCGGTTCCATCCTCCGGCCACTGGAGGAGGGTCCCACATGGCGTGCAGACCTCTCCTGCCACCCGCTGCTCCCCTCAGCAGTGTACTTCGGTCCTTCTGCCTGCTCTGCTCCCCGCTCTGGCTCTGGTGAATTCTCTCACCCTCCCACGCTTCTGACTGTACCCAGTGCTTGTATAAATAAATAAATAAATCTTAAAAAAAAAACCCAAAAAACAGACTTTAAAGGGCCCCAGAATTCAAGACAGAGTTGTTTTTTTTTTTTTTTTTTTTTTAATTAGTTTTGCATGCTCTGACTCGTGAGGCTTTGATGGGGCACATTAAGTGGGGTGTGTGTGTGTGTGTGTGTATTGAATGAGCACAGGTGTGCTAAGAAGTGATGAGTGCCTCAGCCTGCTTCATGTCACAGCATATGCCTTCTTATTTTGGTTTGACAAAATAACTATAAGCTTTTTTATATCCTACAGTACAATCAAGTTAGACAAAGACACAGCATGATGTAAAATATAATTCAGTAAACCCTACTTTGTTAACATCATTGACGATTACACTTAGACTAAATCCTTCTAGAAGTTATTTTGAGAATATCAGTATTAAGCCCTTTGCTTTAACTGTTTCATTGCTTTAAGGTCCAATAATGTTGGAATCATTTATCTGTTTCTAAACAAATGACACTTAGAGATGCATTGTCAGAGGCATGAAAACTGAATGCCCAGAATTTTTTTGCCAGATATTCAGGGTACATAATCAGTAAGCCTGGTATATCAGGGCTGAAATAGAGGAGGCTGAGAAGAGACTGCATCCCCTTTTGTGCTAAGTCTAAGGTCAATATCACACAGGACCAAACAAAAGACCTTTTATTCCTTGTAGAGCATTGCGCAGGAACTTTGTGGACTTGGAATTTTCAGACGTGTTAGATACAATACCTCAATAAAGAAAGTGAAAATCAAAGGTGAGAATTTAGAAAAACACAAAGCACACCACAACAAAACTTGGGAGTCATGAACCAGTGCCCTACGGTTTAGCTTTCAGACCAGTCCTGAACATACTGCAGATCACGCAAGTATTTATGGATGCATAAAATATCTTGGCCACCAAAAAAAATATGTAAAATCAGTAGTTGGGGTGGAAGAACATCCATTATTTCTTTCTCACTGGCTATCTGCGCAATTGTGGAAACTACCTTTGTTATCTCAAACAGATGTCCGAAAACCTAAAAATATGAAGGAATGTTAATCCTCAAACTAAAATAGTTCTAAGATCAGCCTCCACGACAGCATTATTACATAGACAGTGCCACAAAATTAAACATGTAGACTTTGAAAATCAAGTAGATTTTGAACGGCAGAGATTCTAGAATTCACTATACTCTAGAATTCACTATAATGGATTGAAGTACACAACTGTGTTTATAATGAGTATATTAATAGCATAAATGTTATTCTATTAAAGTTTTGGCTCTTTTTCAAATTTTTTCATGAACTATTCTATTAAAATTTAGTCATAGAAAATATGTGAAAGACAATCATGATGCAGAGAACACAAAACATCAGATTTACGCTGATCCAGCAATACGTGGTTTGCTCACGTCGGAGAAGGAGCCCCCTGGCACGTTTCCTGGTTTCCTGGGCATGTGGGGGAGGAAGAAGATTGACCTGTTGCCTTTCTTTCTTTTTTCTCTCGGCCTCTTAATTCATTTTCTACTGCAACCTCACTCTGTTTCTTCACTATCCCAGAAAGCCAGCAAGGTCACTCCCTCGGCTAAAATGAGTATCCTATAGTATGTCCACATGATGATATTTCTAATCATGATGCGTTGGCTTTTATTATTATTATTACCCCTGGCTTAACATGGTTTTATAAAGAGCATGTATATTGTTTTCAGTGCATTTAAGGCAATTTCTAAAAATAATTCAGCATGTAGAAAAATTAGGTTGGCTACAGACCAACATTTTTTAATTGTTTAAATATTTGCTAACGGTGCTTAAATATTTGCTGGCCATGCTGTTCTTTAGTTGAGGCTGTGAGGATTATTTTCTTACAGAAAGAGTCGTGGTGTTAGATTTAAGAAATCCTCGTTTGCCATGATCCGACAGCATTCCGTCGAGCTGATAGTGCTTGTCGGTAACCGTGCTTTCTTGTACGGCCCGGCCCCCCAACTCCTTCACTCTTCTCTGGGCCTCCTGGCCCCCCTTTGTCATCCCTTAGAGTAGTTTTCCCAGGTCTATGTCCTTGACCTCTTCTTCCCACGCTCAGATTTTTCAGTTCAGCTGAACATGACCTCGGCTCTTATGAAACACCATCTGTGGTAATGACGGGCGGTGTGCTTGGCAGCCCAGAACCTCTCCCGAGGGTCACAAGTGGCCATGAGACCGTTTCATCAAA